TGAGCAGGCAAGAGCCATGTGAAGTATTTTCCCATGCTGCTCCCACCCCCTCACAGACTACTGCCTGAGTAATTTCCACTTTCCTTCTGTTCCCTCCATTCTCAAGGTCAAACAGTAACTGCAAGAGTATGTTGCCTTTGGTCATTGTCTGGTTTTGCCACTTAGCCGGTGAATGGACGGGAGGGCCTGCAGACCATTCTCCTGCTGCCGGGTTGCCCAGGAGGCGGGCTCCGCACCTGTCATGGAAAGTTAGGCAGATGCCTGCAGCCCGGGTCTACAGAGATTGCCATTGCCCACCTCCCGATGGCAAATTCCCGAGGGCGGGAATTGGTTCTGAATTAGTCCGGGTCCCGGTTTCAAAAATTATTTTTGGCCCTCAAATGGCTCTTTTCCTCTGTTCTCTCAGTTTGTCTTTGGTTGTGCTGCTTGCCTCTAGCCAGAGCCCTTTGGAATGCCGGTCCCTTGCAGCTGAGCCCATGATGCCCTGAAATTGCAGAGTGGCAGGATTGGCCCCAGGAGGGAGTTTACTCAGGTGTTACCAGATGCCGTGTTCAGCCCATGGCTCAAAACCCCACAAGAGCTCACGTGATAACAGCCCAGACTAATGGTCTGCTAGGAAACACTTGCCAGCATCCCCCCAAACTCTGTTATCTGCAAAGTTTTTTGCACTTAATACCCAGAAAATGTAAAATCTCTGGGCTCTGGTGGGTTTTCCAAATATCAAGTCAGCAAAACTCTAAGCAGCTTTTGAAGCAAGTGTATAAAATGTGCTTGGAATAGCAATTTGCCTCTTCATTTTCGGTAGCGGCTTGACTGTGTTTTCTGCTAGAGCAGTGTTCTTCACACTGGGGTATGTGCACAGCTCCCCCCCCCACCACCACAATGTCCGCAAGGACTTTCCAGAGGTACCAGGCAAGATAGTTTACACAGATGCATTGCTAGACCTTTACTTTCCATGCGAATAATTTCCCCAAAGTCATCTGCATTCTGAGGTAGGGGTGCTCAGGTGCCCATAGATGCTTCATGCAGTCTAAAGAATGAGAAAAAAGTGGAACTGACTCCAGAAATGTGAGCTGGGCTGGTAATCCAGGAAAGAGAGAAATACAGGGAAAGCAACAGAGGGGCCTTGTGGGGTGCAGCATAGGTGAGGTGGAAGGTGAGATCCAGAAACTACGACCTTGTCTTCCTTTGAAAACAGCAGACCTTTGAAAGGGACCAGTTCTCTTAGAGCAGAATTAACTGTAATTGGGAAAAGAATTTCCAGAAAACATTCCTGTTGGTGCTGATTATTGGTTTAAACTGTTAAGCTGAACCAAATAACAAGATTCTACCTGTGATTTGCCAACTAATTAGATAAATATAATAGAGAGTGGGGGTGGGGTAATCTATGGTGGGAGGGGCGTTATCCACAACTAATTTGGCGCCCAAACACATTGTCTATAAGTTACTCTCCCATTATATACCCTCCCTATAAGTTGTCATGTGTGTTACAATTTCTAATTCACAAAGTATTTTCACATTATCTCACTTAATCTCTTTATTCTTCCGGGCCACAGTGAAGACGGGAGCCACTAGGGTGAGCTCCCTCGTCTCCCAGCCTCACCTTTCTGAGTGAATTTGCACCTGCACCTCCCTGGCCTCTTTCCCTGTGGTGTCCTTGGAATGCAGAGTGCCCCATCTCCTGCCCAAGGCTAATTCCAGCCCCTCTCCTTCCTGGGGACCCCATCAATCATCCCCCACTCACTTCAGCATCTTTCTTTCAACTGGCTCTTTCCCACACACTAACATGGCCAAATCTCTCCCGTCTTCAGGGGAAACGAAGACCTGATGTTCCCTCTGGCTACTGTCTCCAGCATCTGCCCACACAGTCAAGCTACGTGACGGCAGCTGCCCACTCCCGTCTCACTCTTCAGCTCCCTACTTCTGGGTTCAGCCTCCTCAAAGCCGTTCTCACAGGGGCCAGTCATCAAATCCAGCAGTCTTTATGCTACCTGCTCTCCTCGAGCCATTTGCAACTGAGGAACAATTCCTCCTTTCCATGGCTTCCAGGGAAACCCTCTTTCCAGACTTTTCCCTTTCATCTGTAGCTCATCTAGCTCAGGCTTCTTCACTGAGTTATGGTCTTTCACCTGCTCTTTAAAAAAACGATAATTATTAAAGTACGATATACATACAGAGAAGTGTACAAATCCCAAGTTTACAGACTGATTTTCACCAGCTGAACACACCCAAGTAACTGACGCTCAGATCAAAAGAAAAACTGTTTCCAGCACCCCCAGAAATACCTTTTGCGCCCACTTACAGCCCCCCACCTTCCCAAAGTGTAACCACCGTCTTGATTTTGAACATCAGAGATGTGTTTTGCTTGTGCTTGAACTTTATGTAAGTGTGGACTACAAATGTTTTCTGTCAGGCTTTTTTTTTTTTCCCTCAGCATTGTGGGTGGAAGAATTATCCATATTTTTGTAGATGTAGTTTGCTCATGCTTACTGCTATAGACTATAGGAGCTTTGACGGAAAGAATACCCCATAATTCATGCATCTGTTCTGCTGTGATGGGCATTGGGAGAGCTTCCACATTTTGCTATTAGCAGGTGTGCCATGATAAAACACTCAGTTGCCTGCTTCTTAAATGGTGAGCTCCCTATATTTCCATTCTGGACTGTTCTATGTGCTCCCTTAGAGTGGCTCTAGATTATTTTGGAGGCAAAGATTGCTTAGACATGAGATCAGCATCTCCCTCCTCTCACTAAGTAAGAAAGAAAGCCCATAGAAATGTTCCAGGTAAATATGTTTTCAAATGGTACTATTTTCACATGCTGAAATTTAGTATCTGTAGACCATCTGAACAATAATAACAACCTGAAGTCCAAAATTCTTATAGGAAAGATTAAATTAGTGCCAACTATGTGCAAGATTCTCAGAGGAGAGATTGAATTAGTAAAATATAATTTATTTCTCAGTCTATGGAGCCAATGATTCCATAATGCCCTGAAAAATGCTTAAGTTCTATTTGTTTGGTCTTAATTTCTACTCCACAATAAGTAGTGATGGGACCTGGACATCTTCTATGACACTGTGTAAATGTTTTTAGCAAGGCAAAGGAGAAGATGGGCATGTCTTTCTTACTTTCTTGAGTGGCCATGTCAAAGCAACAGGCAATAGCTCCAGGCCCCAAAACTCACCAATGACACTATGTCAAATAAGAGTCAAGACTGATTAATACATGAAATCAAACAGTAGAATATTTTAGGTAAAAGCAAAGTTCAGGGGTCACACTCATATCAAGTCTGTAAAGAAATTTTGGCATTTTGCTATTGCTTAATAATTCAGAAACTATTTTTATTTTGGTATAATCATTCTCAGTAAAAATATAAATTTAAACCTAGCAAATAGTGCCTCATAGTAATAGACATTAATTTTATACTATCCTGTGGAGGTAGGGAAATGTGTACTACCTCAGTTCTCATGATTTCTAATTTTTTCTCCTCCAGAGATATTTTTAAATATGGGACTTTTAGACATTATTTTTCTGGAGAATTTCCTCTACTCAGTGCCAACTGGTTTTGAAATAGTCATCATTTCTCTCTGATGATAAACTGTGGTATTACTTCCACTTTTAGAAACAAAGGGGGAAATGTGTTTACAGTTTCACTTTAAGGCTCTTTAGAGAGAATTCTTATAACAGGGAGTGGTAAATAAATTTTAGACAAAAAGTGGTTCAAAACTGGGAACAAATATCAATATCCCACTTGACTCACTGGCCACCAAAGTGTTTGGAAAATCAGTCGATATAATTCTCAATGTTTGGATCAATTGGAAAGTGGTTTAGTCCCAGCTAATAATGTCTAACGAATGATGTGTCTTAAACCAGCCACACATCTTCCCCCTTGTTCTGCCTTCACACGGCTTCACGTTTTAAAACATTGTCAACCCTTTCCTAATAGACACAGGGACTGACAATATTGAATATGTTGGAGTTCTTCTGCTTCCTTAAAAGATGCTTGTGACAGTATAGTTCTTCTCTTTTAAACTTTGCTGCAACACTTTTGAGTTTTCTACTTGTGTTAATATTGCAGTCATGTCCCTACCGAGAAACTGTATTCAGATACATTCCAATAGGCTGCAAATAATATTTTGGGCCCAATGTCAGTTGGTCCAGATCAGATCCTCTCCTTGATTAAGATAACTCACAACAGGCAGGAATCTTTTGGTTGCCATTGATAGGAGTTGCATGAGCTAATTTAGGCAAAAGGGGATTTTACTGGAAGGATTGGGGGTAACTTATATCTAAATTGCCTGAAAGAAGAGCAGGGGAGCAGCTGTGTCCCAAGGACAGCTGGAAACGGGGACAAGGCCGCAGCTGGGACTCGGGCCCTCTGCCTCTGCCTCTCTGTGCATTCCCTTCATTCCCTTTTCCTGCAGATCAGATTTCTCCAGTGATGGGGTCCACAGCCTCGGGGCTCTGCCCACCCCTATGGCGCTGCTCTGGGTGGAGGCCACCTCACACTCGCATCACATCATTTGGTGAGCAGAAGGCCCCTTTGTGAAAAAAAGAGGCCCTCCTTTTCTGAGATGCAGTCCTCTAGCAGGGCCCACGTTTCGGTGGGCAGAAGCAAATGAGATTTCAGCCTGATCTCTGCTCCTCGCCTGCGGGCCTTTGCCTGAGGACCCACCGAAGCTAGGGTCCCCACACGGCTCGAATTTCTCATAGCTTCTGTCCCTTTGTAAGGGGGATCATGCTTCCTCGGTTCCCCATGAAATGCCCCCAACTCCATTTACCAAGAGCCCAGCAACTCAGGTCTTCACTTTCTCTTTCTCTTCCTAAGAAGGAGCCAACAGAGTGGCAGCCTGCTTTCCTCAACAAAGGGCTTAAGTGAATTAAAAGGGATTATGCTTTGAAGGGGGAAATGAGCCTTTAATCACCCCAAGAAGGACACAGCAGCCCAAGCCAGAGGTGCCCTGAGCGCCATTTATGTCGGTCGCTGTCCCTCCACAGACGGAGGGCTCCGAGGGATCTCCTACTCGTGCGGCCCCCAAGCATGGGCTTTGTGAGACAGATCCAGCTCTTGCTCTGGAAGAACTGGACCCTGAGGAAAAGGCAAAAGGTAACAAGTGCAGTCTGTGGTCTCAAAGTGAGGTGTGGAGCAAATCAGCAGGGTGGGGGTGGGGAAGGCAAGCTCTCTCACGGGGCTCCTTGCTATTTAGCTCTAAAGCAAAGGCTTTAGGTGGCTGCTCCATGAACCACTCCGACAAGTGTCCTTCACAGGAAGACCTGTTTCTCTGTCCAGAGATGGACACTTTCCACTTGCAGCCCAGCACGGCCACAGTATATACTCTTCTTTCCCTTCCTACATGTGAACCTGTTACCTGGCCCTCCCTTCCCCCCACCGCCTGGTTTTGAAACCTGCCAGTCCAGCCCACAAACTCTTGAGCATCCTAACGGTGCTATGGGAAGATCCTAAGCCCCTAAGAGCGGGCTTAAAGGAAAACAAAACTCTCAAAGAGCCTCCTAGACCAATGACACATGTTTCATTGATTCTGTGAGGTACACTGGCTTTCCACATTTTCACATTTCTGACATAGGTCTGCAGCTCGTATTCAGGTGACAGTTTAACTAGACACGTCTGTTTCTTTCTTAGTGTGCAAAAAAATTTACAATTGATGGTGTCTTAGATTCAGTGAGCTACAATAACTTATCAACCAGCAAGACGTTTAACTGAGTCCTTTCAGGGAGCAGAGATAATGGCTGGGCTGGACCAGGGATGTAAAAGCAAAAGGACACAGATTCAACCCTGGACTCATTTCTAGTCTGGCTGGGGAAACCTGAAGGGTTTTGAGACCAAGAGCAATAAATGTACCAAATACCCACCAAGAAGTTCCGGCAAGAGGCACAGGTGAGCAGAGGACCCCAAGAGTGTACATACAAACGCCAATGGGCTTCTAATTTTTCGGGAAAGGGGTGAAGAGTGAATATGTGACTATATGGAAACATACACTCTGCTGCAGCCTTGCAGTCTTGCAAACACTAAATGACACCAAATGACTAAAGATGCCGAAAGAAGAAAGGGGGGGAGAGAAGGAATGAGGGGTGAGTAGAGCTGAGATTAGACAGACAGGATGCAGACAAGGCCGGGAGATTTTTGGAAGGAGAACATGAAGGAAGATTGGCTGTGAGGATGAGGAGAATGGATTTGTTCAAAGCCTCGATTTGAGATGGGTTTATGCAGGCAGGAAAGGGTTTTCCTGTGTGTTGGAAAAAATGTTAGGGAAGAAGGGGGCCAAGGAGTGGAACATCTGAAGGCCTGTGATGGAGTGTCTCGGTCAGGGTTCAGTCAGAGAGAATCGGGAGTATAAAAAGGTGTTAGCTAAGTACAAGGCTAGTCACTGTGAAAGAGGACAAGGATCATGGAGGCAGCCATTGTAGGATGTGGCTTCCATCCCCAGAGTTGAGGGAACCAAGGGAAGAATATGGAACTCCTAGCACTTGGAAACACAGAGGAGATGTTGGTGGAAACATAACTCAGACCTGTGGGGGAGGGGCACTGTCAGGCTGCTGTTTGGGTCTCCCACCCAGACCCATGAAGAGGGACCCTGGCTACGTTTGGAGCGAAGGGAAAATAGCTTAATAATTAGCCCAGAAAAGAGCGAATAGCAAAGGACATAATCAAACCATGTGCACAGACAGTCGGTCCTTTCTGCTATGTGTCACTGGGACAGGACTTACGGAGGCCACAGAGGGAAGCCAAGTTAGGACCCCCTCAGACATGGGAAACCCTGCTGTCTTCAGGCTGCTTTCCTTGTCAAAGTTACTCTGATTTTCAAATTAGTGTTGAAGTTATTTGTCTCCTTCAGGAGCCAAGTGCTAACAGTCATCAGAGGCTCCATCCCTTGCTTCCAAGAGCTTCCCTTCCTGAATGAAAATAGATAAAAGTTAAACAAGATTCACTATTAAGTTCATGTATTTATTAATGTGTCCCTTCAATCAACAAATACTTAATAATCACTAGGCACTGTGCCAGGTCCTAGGTACCCAAAGGGCAAACAAGACAAGCTTAGTCCTTGTCCACATAGTGTTTAGAGTCTGTGAAATGCTAAGGAAAATCCAATCTGCAACTATTTCTTTCTCTCTTTCCCATAAGAAATTAAGATTCTCACTTAGTTCTACTCTCAATGTGCTCTTTGCAGCCCTCAAACAATATCCTTGGGGACTTTACCTGATGACATGATTCCATTTCTGTGGCAAGCATGTTGCTATTACAGAGAATGACCCTATTTTCAAAGACAGTGTTTAACTCAGAGGCCCTCACCGCCCCTTCTCCCTTTCCCTGGTGTTGGCCAGTGTCCCCTGTTCAGGGATTCCGTCTTTCCCAGAGTGTGCTCCGAGGGGGAACACGTTGCCAGCCTCTCTATGGTGAGAAAGGACTGCTCCGGCTGAGAACCCTGGCTGAGGGAAGCTCCCAGAACTAGACCTGGTCTGGGCTGACATTCATTTGATGCCATCCTGCTGGCTTGCAGTTTGAGATATCTGTCTGGTGTGCCTCCAGCCAATTTGCCCACTGCCACTATATCCTGAGAATGACCAGGATGTCTGAGAAAGATGGAAGCATCTTCCACAGCCCCCAGTAGTGTGACAGGGGTCTGTGGCTCCTTCCCTAAGTTTTTGGTTCTTCTGGAGGTTTTGCCTCAACAAAATGGTGACTCTCAAGAAAGTACAATACCTAACACCTAAGTAAACAACCTAACTCATAACTCTTAGGTTTTTAACTTCTCAAACTTCCATGGTTTGGGGTGTTCACTATTGTGAACAAGGGCAAAACAGATACCAAATTTCCCCATTCCTCTTCTCCCAATCCCTGAGGGCATAAGATGAAAATCTTTACATCTCTGCATTCCTCCTTCTTTTTCTTTTCTTCCTCCATTAACACTTATTACTAAGTGTCTGGCACTGAATCATCACCTCAGGTCCATGAGAGAGCTCCTACTAGTGTCCCCGTGTGGACTGATGTGGTCAGTGAGGCTTCAGTGAAGGTTAGTTACCGATGGGGCCGGCAGACATGGCCATTACCCCACACTGGGGTTGTGGAGACTACAAAGACGGGGTGACTGTCTAATCTATCATCTTAACCAGCGCCATTTTGAAAGTGAAAGGAGGTACTAGGAACAATGGCACCAGGGCAAAACACATAACCTAACACTTGACCTGGCGAACTGGTCACCCCATACAGGAGACTGCTGAGTTAGATGTAGCCGCACTCTCAGGGAACTCGGAACCAGGTAGGAGCTTGGTAGTGGAGTAGAAGGAAGCACGGGGTGGAGGCCAAGACGAGCTCTGGGGGCTCAGAAGAGAAATGGGGTTTGGAGAGCATAAAAGACTTCCCAAGGAGTTCCGCATAGGACGGGCACTTCCAGTGACAGGAGCTCTCCCGACCATGTCGGACAAATACACCCTGCCCATATTTGCTGTGGGCCAGGCCCTGTGCCCGGGAGGGTTTATAAAGCTCGTCGGGTGTGCCTCACTTCCCTGAAAGTTCCCCGTGTCGGGGCTTCCAGGTGTCATCCCCTTGTCCCAGCTTCCATGTTAGTGCAGGACGTTTGGGGAGGCCTGATGACTCATGAGAGTAGGGGCGTATTATGTCCTGGAGAGCTGGTGCGGCTGCAGGCTCTGAGCCCGGGTGCAGCATTAGGCGAGGGTGCAGGGAGGCTGGATAGCCTGCTGCAAGCGTGCCTAGGTCCTGGGTCTGCATTCATCCAGCCAAGAATCCTCGCTGGGTTGTGGGTGCGGAAGGGAGAGTTAAACAGCTCGCTTCAAGCCTCAGTTACCCACCTTTAAATTGGAAACAGATGAGGAGGGAAGGAAATCTAGCTGGCCGAGATTTAAAACAACAAGCACAACTCTGCCCTTCCCAGCAACCCCTCCTCCCCCGTGTAGATGGAGTAGTAAAAAGGGGGAGGGGAAGCCAAAAAAAAAAAAAAGAGAGAGAGAGAGAGAGAGAGAGAGAGAACAAGGAAATACCAGTTTGGGGGGAAAAAATTTCCATCAGCCCCTTCTGAGCCTTGGCTGGGTTTAATTAAAGTTACAGACATGTTTAAAGGGAAAGGGTGGGGGGAGTCAGAGCCACCCTGAAAACATGTTTTTAATTACACTGTGGAATTTCTCCCTGGGGTATGCCTGCGCACAGTTGAGCATCAAGGACAAGGATGCCGCTTCGGGGTGGGGCTGCGGAGCACGACTGGGGCGGGGGCCACAGGACCTGCCAGGCTGGAGAGGAACGGCCTGGCCTGTGGTCTTTGTGCAGGAGGGAGTGTGAAATGCAGCCCCTCCAAAACAAACCCTTGCCGAGTCAGAACAATAACACTGACCTCTCAACAAATGTCTGTCCAAGATTACCGAGAGGACCTACCCCAGTGGGTCTCAGCCCCCGCTGCACGGTGGCATTACCTGGAAAGTGTTAGAAACAAACAGGAAGCAACCTGTTGTCCCACCAGAGAAACCCGGGTAATTGATGTGGGGCATGGCCTGAGCTCCCCACGCCTGATTCCAGCGGACAGCCGCCTGGGAGCTGCCTTCAGAGAAGGTGGTCAGGTGAGGAGCAGGCCCTCGGGGCAGAAAACAGCAGCCCTAACTCAGAGATTCGGGGAAGGCGAACACTTGCAAGGTTCCACTCGTCCCGGGCCCTGGAACGAGAATTCTGATCTGGTCTGCCACTGAAGGGGGCTTCCAATCACAATGCCTTGCAAACACCAGATGCTTAAAAAAATACAAGAACGAACGAGTGAGTAGAGGAGAGTGCGTGTGACAAACACAGCGAAGAGGGTGCGGGTGCACCAACTTGCACCAACTTGGGTGTTTTATCCATGGCCTCCTCCCCCGGTCCAAGCCCTCAAACAGGTAGAGCAGGGAACAGTGGGTGGTGAGTGTCTCAGGAAGCCCTGTGTTTCCAAACTGGCAAATGAGCAGTCTTGAATCCAGAAAGGGAGAAGGGGAGGAAAACAATGCAAGTGGGGGGCCGGCCTAAGATCTTACCGGTCATTTTAATGATACCCCCTTCTTCTTTGGCCTGTACAGTGTGTCGTGACCTACAGCGTCCTCGTGGTTTTTGTGGGAAGTATGGGTCAGGAATAAAGGGCTTGTGTTTACTGAACATTACCTTGTGCCAGATTCTGCTCTGGGAGGTGGTTCTGGTACCAGCCCCGTTTTACAGACGAGGTCCTGAGGCGTGGAGTGACTAGACAGGGCTACCCAAGGTCATACAGTTAATAAGAAGCAGAGCCGCATAAAACCCACAGGACTGACACAGTCAACTCTTAGGGGATACTGAAGGACAAAATAGTCTCATTTCACAGATAGGAAAACTGAGCCTGGGTGATGAAACAAGCCCTAAAGTGATTCTTAACCCAGATTTTCCCATTCCCAAACGTCTGACATACCAGACTACTCCCAGACAGACATTGCTACATGGAAGGAAGCAGACCGACTTGGGAGAAAGCCAAGGTTGCACACAATTGTCTTAAGGGGAAGAATCAGATGTGTGGAATCTGGACTGGTTGCCTCACTTCCTCGGTGAAGACAGCACGAATGACTTCCGGTTTCAGCGCTTGCTCCTATCCCTCTCCCTGTGATCTTGTCAAACTTGCTCCCTGATCTTACTTGTGGACAGAAGGACCTGGGATGGAAGGCATGAAGCCAGTGTACAGAACATGCCTCCAGGGGTGCGGTTTGTTAAATCAGTTGGTGACCTGAGCATCACCTTCAGCTTTCCAAGGAGCCTCCTAGACCAGTCCTTCACAAAGGCTCACTCATTCCTTATTTATGGGGCACCTGCTGTGAAGCTGGCCCTGTGTTAGTCAGGGTGCTAGAATCACAGTAGTGACAGGAAGAGACATGGTTGCTGCCCTAAGGCAGCTCACCATCAGTGAGGGTTCCATTTTCATGAAGGAGTGATGACCCTGATTTACAATGAGTGATAAGACAAGGGAAGTGTAGGGTGCTGTGGGAACAGCTGTGCTGGTCTGGTAAGGGTGAGAGAGTGTTAATAGTGAGATAAGGTCCCTGGGGGAGAGGCTCAGCCCCTCCTTCTCCTCTGATTTGCTGGCCCCCGGGGGGGTGGGGGTTGGGGGAGGAACAGCCGGCATTCCAGTGGCTATCCAGGGCACTTGGGGTCAGTCCCTCTAACACTGGATGGGATTGTCCCATACTGATGTTTCGCCATCTTGTAGGAGCATGTGTAGGGAGAGCCCTGAAAAGTGAGTGCCTTAAGGAAAATCTACCTCATGTATAATACATAATAACATTTTGGTGTGTTTCCTCTAACATATCTTCCCTAGACATATTTTGAAGAAAACATTGAGTAAAAAGTTACAACTGCTTAATCACCAGCTGCCCTAAACATTTTTTTGTTTTTTCTTCAATGCCTTATCTTCCCTCCACCCCCCTGCCACTACTTTATGTTACGATTTGCAATAATTCTGTAGCCAGCAGACTCTACTACCAGGAAAAGAAGAGGCATTTACTGAGTCCCTGCTATGGAGTCTACCACTTTGCTGAGCATTTATGTACATTTCTTTGAAAGGAATGACAAAGGGTTAAAGACTGCGCAAATGGCTCCTAGCTGGTCTAGGTATACTTAAGTCTCTCTCTTAGCCAGCGGCACAAGTTCTCCTTCGGATCTCAGGAGTTTACTTCCTAGGGTTTCTGGAGTGGGGGTTGGGTAGAAGAACTATTTCATTCCCCGAATTACATCCCCTCCTCCCTGCCCTCCCGCACAACCCTCCCACACCTGCAACCCATGCCTTAGGAGCAACACCATGGAGTGTGGCTCCAACAACCAAGTGTTTCTTCCTTTGGAATCAAGGGTCCTTAAAACTCTTGAGTCGAACCTAATTTAAGTACTGGCTTTCAACCATAGGTCGTTATCAGCAGCTTCTGTCAGTACTGTAAAAACTGACCGCAGTATGCCCCGCTTTCTTCCTTTAAGCAACAAGAAACTGTGCAAGGAAGGTTGTTGGGAAACCCTTATTGACTTTGCTACAGATCACAGTGTTCAGAGTCCTTGACTCATTCATTCAGTGACCACGTATGCAAGGTCTAGTGGGAACTAGAAGAAGGCAGGGCAGTAGGGAAGGGCAGAAAGGGCACATGAGACATGTGAGAGCTGGTGCCCTACAGAGCAGAACCTGCTTTCAGGTGCACAGCAACATATGAGGAGTTCTGAAGCACACATCTCCATCCTTGATGAAAGTCCTGTGTCAAGGCAGTTTCCTGAAATAGAGTAGAACCGAGATGGACACAAAGTCTTGTGAGCCTAATATATCAGGGTAGGGGTAGTAAAGGAAATGGGACAAGAAAAGGAAGTCTGGGGCACTTGGGTGGCTCAGTCAGTTAAGTATCTGACTTGATTTTGGTTCAAGTCATGATCTCAGGGTCATGAGATCAAGCCCTGTGTCAGGGCATGGAGCCCGCTTAAGATTCTCTTAGATTCTCTCTCTCCCTCTGTCTGTCCTCTCCCCCCTCCCCCTGCCACCCTCAGCACTCTCTCCCTCTGAAAGAAAGAAAGAAAGAAAGAAAGAAAGAAAGAAAGAAAGAAAGAAAGAAAAAGAAAGAGAAAGAAGGAAGGAAGGAAAAGGAGAAAAGGAAGTCCTTTAGGAAATATACCACAACCAAGATCTATGGCACAGACACGTGCTGAGCTGTGTGTCCACTCTGGGTGTGTCTTCTGTAATTTCTTAGCATCACTGGTCTTTCTCTCTTTTTGTCTTGTTTTTCCAGATCCGCTTTGTGGTGGAACTTGCATGGCCTTTGTCTTTATTTCTGATCTTGATCTGGTTAAGGAACATCAACCCACTCTACAGCCAACATGAATGTAAGCATGAAGGGGGCAGAAGGGGGGAGGCTGGCAAACCTTTCATTTAGAAAGGTCTTAGGGGTTTGGGGTGCCAGGATTGGATCTACTTATCATCATTACATGCCTCCGGTGCAGAAAACAGATTCATCCGCATGATACAAATGAACTTTTTAATCCTACATCTTTGCAAATACTTGTATGTGGTTACTAAAGAATTGTGAAATTAGTTTTTGTTTTTGTTGATTCTTTTTTTTTCTATACCTAAACTCTTACTAGTTTTAAAGGGAGCATATTATAAATGGGTTCCCTAAAATATTCTGGAGACCAGTTTAGGGAATTGATATATACAGTGCTGGACAAAAATGAGAAGGGGTAGTACACAGCCATGTGTAGTAATACATTATTTCTTGGATCCCAGAGGTATCCTGGGACCTGGGATGAGCCTGTGAATGTCCCTTTTATTCTCTGCTCCTGGTTTCCAGCGAGGATGACATCTTCTCCCTCTAGGTAGCTGATGTGCAGACCTCAGGAACAATATGAAAATTCTCAGTGCCCTATTTTTTTTTTTTTAAGATTTATTTATTTATTTATTTATTTGACAGACAGAGATTACAAGTAGACAGAGAGGCAGGCAGAGAGAGAGAGGTGGAAGCAGGCTCCCTGCTGAGCAGAGAGCCCGATGCTGGGCTCAATCCCAGGACCCTGGGATCATGACCCGAGCCGAAGGCAGAGGCTTTAACTCACTGAGCCACCCAGGTGCTCCTCAGTGCCCTATTTTTTACTCTTCTCCCTCTTGTTCATGAGTTTTAAGCCCCAAGTTCTGGATCAGTCTCCTGTCTATCAAACTCTTGTTTATTTACCTTGTTCCTCCTGCCCCCTCTTCTCCCCAACCCATCATCCCCCCACCACCACCACTGCTAAAGGAGCCCATAACTTGCAACCTTCTTGTGTGCTTGGGGTATGTGCTCATAAAAACAGTTGTGGAAGGAGCAGGTGAACCTCACTTCCTAAAGCATCTGAGCAATGTTGTGGAGCCATCTTGAGATAATATCCCTCCGCCATACCCCCCTCTATTCCCCTTCCGCGCTGCCCTTCACACCTCCATCAATTGTCTATCACCCCACTGCATGGGGAGCTTGAGAGGAGAGACCCTGTCTCCAGCACTGGGCACATGGCCTGGCATATATTAGATGTTCCTGCTTCTTAAATGTTGATGAATGAAAGAAACCCCTGAGGGCTGGGCTCCTTCCTGCAGAGGCCCAGCAACTAGAAGCGGCATCCCGCATGGTTTCCATAAGTAACTCCTTGTCTTCATTTCCTGTCTTCAAGGCCATTTTCCCAACAAGGCGATGCCCTCAGCAGGAATGTTGCCGTGGCTCCAGGGGATATTCTGCAATGTGAACAATCCTTGTTTTCAAAGTCCCACCCCAGGAGAATCTCCTGGAACTGTGTCAAACTATAACAACTCCATGTAAGTATTGAGATGCCCCAAATCTCAGGATAGGGCTTGATGGTATTGGTTCTAAACGTGGGGGTGGTTAAAGACCATTCGTAGAAGCTGATGAAAACCGATGGCCCCTCTTTCCCCCAAAATGGACACACATGCACACACACACACACACACACACACACACACATAAAGCATTACATTGTGCATAAGATTTCTGGGTACTTGAGGACTTCAGGTTAATGACCTCTCCTCTGGGGTCTATTTTTAAGTCAAATCCCATAAGAAAAGAGTCTATCTTTGAAATTCCCTTTCAGAGCAGGAGGTGGGAGAACATGATATGAGCGTGTCCTAGAGATAGAGGCTCAAGAATGTGCACAGTGTCATCTTTCACCCCCTGGGCTGATCTTGAGTTTACCTGAGGGACATCAGCAAGGCTCGTTTGGGAGTGGGCTTCACTGTGCTTATATAAACACCAGGTCAGATGGAAACAAGATACTGGGTTACTCCAATTTTGTTCCCCCCACCCTTAAAGTAGCTCTGCGTATAATTCCCCTGGGACAAACCTGCATTTGACTCAAGAAAAGGGACACTTGACAAGTCAGCCCCATGCTCAGAGGTAGTCTTGCCCACTGGGAGCAAACTCTGATTGCTTTTACCCTATCCTGGCAGAGTAGGGTAGTCCTGATAGAGACTTACGCCCTGTAAGCCTGTAATACATATCTGTTTGCCAATCTTCGGAATATAAAAAGATGGAAGAGGGAGCATCTGTATTCCTGAGACTGTCAGGAAGGTGACATTTTAGCTGGGAGTGCAGGGCTGCAAACAGTTCCTGGAGGCTCTAACTTGCAATCTCTAACTTCAGCTTGAGTCCCCTCGAGGGGTTTGAGAAGGAACACTTCCCCATCCATAGAGATGGCGTGGGGTCGCCCAGAGGGATCAGGGAGCCTGGAAGACACCTCAGTGGGGGCTAGCTGGGGCTTTGGACAGACTGGCACTGGTGGTGTCTAGAACCTGAGGGAGTTGGGGAAGGATGGCTTCTGACTCCAGCTGTACTCAGCATTAGAACCAGGAAATCCAGGTTTCACATTTCGCACCCTCATTATAGGTGAAATACTGGCTTATTCAAGGCTCTTTTGCCTGCAAGCCACAGAAGCCCATTCCAACAAGCTGTAGCCCTAGAGGGAGATAGATGATATGGACACTAGACCTTCTTGCAAAGCCAGGGGAAGTCAGGCAGGCCTCAGGAGGGGTGGGACAGGAGCTGGATGGCCGCAGACCTGCTCTCTCCTCTCTGGGCCTGCAGGGTTCAGCCTCTGTCCCTTTGTCTGTGCAACAGCTATATTTACCTCTCTCCACCGACCAATGTCCCTGCTTCTCAATGCCCATGCTGGCTCTGGTTGCCCAGTTCAGAGCACCTTGCCTCAGGCAACTGGAAGGACATCTTTCAAAACAATTCAAAATTCCTGGGAACAGAGATGATTGGTTCAACTTCATTTTCCTCATCCGGTCAGCCATGGCAGAGAGCATGTGAGTGTGTATGGGTGTGTGTGTGCCCACTTATAGGGAGGAACTTGTGCATTAAGCATGGCTGTCCATGCCTATGAATGGCTGGCCAGGTGAGGTCTCAGAGAAGTGGCAACCTCTGGGAAGAACCTCCAGTACCATCTTTGAATGTCAGCCGGCTGAAGGCTTCTCTGGGCGGGAGAGACATAGAGCATGGGGTTAAGAAGTGACTTGGCCCTGCTGAAGCTGGAAAACTGAACAAAATGCTCACCCTCCCTATTAGCCTGTTTGTACAATGAAGCTGAAATAGCCTTTTCTCCTTTGGCCTTGGTGGTATTAAAAGGATACGTAATGTCATAGCTAGGGCAAACATATGGGGTCTCCAAAACTAGCAAGCAGTATTATTACTATTATGAAAATGACAATATCTTTGCTAATGAAGCTATGTCTTTCTTACAGCTTGGCGAGGGTGTTTAGAGATTTTCAAGAACTCATCATGAAGGCACCAGAGAGGCAGAACCTTGGCCATGTTTGGAAGGAACTTCAAACCTTGTCTCAACTCATGGACACCCTCCGGACTCACCCTGAGAGAGTAGCGGGTATGCTGGGCTTGCTCCTTCTCATCCATCACTTGCCTCTCCCTTGCCTTACCTGTCAGAGAGACCAAAGGCACAGGAAAGAGAGGGAGATTTGGTGGGGAAAGATAATAGAGGTGGCAGGAAGGAAGGGCTCTAGAGATGGCACGAAGCTCACCTTGGTGAGGACTCCTCTTTCTATCAGCTTAAGAGTTAGGAAGTTGAGGAGGGCAGGAAAGTTCTCGTTCCAGGCAAGTCTAGACTCAGAAAGGAGAATGCCGGAATGGTTGCGCTCTGGGAAGGATAAGGCTAGGTTAATTCTGGAAGCAGGAGGAAAAGGGTAAAGGGAAAGGTGTGGGAGTATTTTCATGGAGCACTAGAGAATGAGCTAACCAGGACTGCGTGGAAGCAATGCCAAGTAAGGGGCCAGAGAGGTCAGAATGTGTATGTTTACCATGGCGTAAATATGCACAATCATTCCATTTCTTCCAGGGATATTCAGCCTCCCGGGCCCTGAGGCACAGCAGATGTAGAGGGAGATGATACGGGGCTGGGGGTTTTAGGGAGGTACTGCAGAAGGTCCAGGAGGCAAGGACTTTAGGGTGGTGACTGGAAAACTGGCATCGGGTCCAGGCTGTGGAAGGATGGATGGGGAAACCAGAAGTACTGAAATGGCCTGGGGAAGATCAGGGGACAAGGGAACAGAGGCCCCTGGGAGTTCCACAGTCCTGTTTAAGGACCAGTGTGCTGAGCGGGATAGAGGGCTTGATGACTGTGGTCAAAGAGTGAGCTCTGCAGATCCAGGATTTCAAAGGTAGGCAGGAGCAGGGAGAAGGAGCCCCTGGGTATGGCCGGGGTGGCTGAAGCAGGGCAGAAGTGAAGGTTAAGCTGATAAGGATACCGAGGGACCAAGAAGCCAGGCTGTTGGGAAACTGTTTGTGTGGGCAGGTAGGGGAGATAGTTACCAGGGTAGGACAGTCACTTGGGCTCAGGAGCAGTGAGGGCCAGACGTGGCAGAGGCTTGGGCACCAGCTGGAAGCCTCCCCCCACTAACCCTCCACCATCCCCAGGAGGGCAGATGAGTAGCTGGGAGGGAGAAAGCCCCGCCAGAAATCTAGGCGTCTCTGCAGTCCTGCAGGGGAGACGTGACCACCAGTGGGGGAAGACTGTGAAGGCTTGCAGCTTAGAAGCAGTGAAGAGGTCCTGCATGCATCCTATGTTGCTAGGACAGGGAGGCAGCGGGGACTCTCAGGATGACCTCAGAGGATGACAGGGATGAGCAAGGGGTCTACCAAGGGGACAGAGGGACTGGATAGAATGATTCCTGTTCAGGGTTCTGAACAAGAGAAGTGGGAGAATGGTAAGAATCAGCCCTCCAGGGGTCCTCACCCATGCAGCTGGAGAGATGGATCAGAGCAGGTACCCACGCTGAGGGCTCCCAAAGCAGAGGTGAAAGGACAGAATGAACAGTGACCACACCTTGGGGAGGGTGGTGGAGGGATGTTGGGGGGGCTTCAAGAGAACAGAACAGTCCAGAGGGGCAATTATCCTTAGGAAAATATTATCCTGTTCCCACCTGGCCACCTTTTCCCTTCTCTCCCTATGGGAGCAATGAAGGACAGGAGTATGTTCAGAGAGCATGTTGAGATGACTTCATTACATTTTAATTCTCTCCAAAATAGTAACACATGGACTTTAGGTAGTAATATTCTACAAACCAGATTATAAACATGACCTTCTTTGCTGCCCTGGATAGAAGAGTTTACTCAGCTCAAGCTGGAGGACCTTCTAAGGTGTGAGCACAAGCAGAATTTTCGTAGTAAGAGAAACAGGGAAGAGGCAGCAACCGGAAAGCACTGTTTTCTAGGATTAAAGAAGCAGATGAGAACATGGGCTGTCTAACCCCTGGAGTGATTGCCTACCTCATTCATCCTGTGGGATCTGGAATGAGGCAGACATTTCGTTTTGTTGTCTCATTGTCAGATGGAGTCCAGCTGGGAGGACATGTAAAGGAAATCATTTCAAACCACAATTTCTCTGCGGTCTTTACAGTGTGTATATGAGAACCAAAGTCTCAGCTTCCCAACCTCAACACAGGACTAGTTTTGAATTGGCATACAGGTGGTTCCTTCTGCTGGCCTTCAGTCTGTGGAGGGAAGTTCTCTAAAGGAGAGCAGCTTCAGAGGTGTGGAGAGACAGGGTGGGAAAAGGTCAGCCAAGGCTCCCCAAAGGAATCTGGGGGCTGGGAACAAAGATTCCACAGCACCCCTGACCTTGGTGGCCGTAAGAGGGGACAGGGGGCCATCCCCAAAGTCTCTGAAGGAATTCTAGGCCAGGCATCTAAGATTATCCAAGTATCCACCATCAGGATGGCAGACTATTTCAGGGTCCATCCCAGGGTCACTTAGGGACTTGCTCACTGTCAACACTGAATCCTCGGCCCAAAGCCCCAGTGGAGGGTAAAGCCTTGGAGAACGAGGTGAGCGGCTGTCATTGGTATGTGCTTTTGCCTGTCAGTTTCCAGTCACCTGGGAAAGTATGCCGATGGCTGACCCAGGTGGCCTTTTCTTTTCCTAGCAAACCTGTTGTACAGCATTCTCCCCAGGGGAGGATTAATGGTAAAACACCAGACGTGAAGCCCCCTCCCCTCTCAGCTCCAAGCAAGCACTGTGGTCTCTCAATCATCTTCAGACACCTTCTTCCCACGAGCCCCACACGTTCTCCTGGCTTCTCTCCCACCCCAACCCTCAGCTCCCCTCGGCTCCTCGGTCCTCAGCAGCCCCCTCCCCCAACCTCTTTCCAGGGAAGCGAACAAGAAGAACCACATTTTAAACAAAATTTATTTTTCTTTCCTCGGGCCCCCAGTTCACATTTCTCCCTCGGGAGTCTAGTGGAGCTTCTGTCTGGTATCAGCCACCTCTTACATCTTGGGCCCCACACTCTCACTACAGGGCGACCCCCACCCCTCTTTGTGGAACCACCATGCTCCTGCCCCTTCCCCCATAGGGCCACAGCAGTCCGGTCACCTGGGTGAGGTGGGGGGAATGGCTTCCCTCCCCAGCAAGATATTCTTAGGCAAGGTCAGGCGAGTGAGTTAAAGAATAACGAATTGACAAACAGTCAAATGGGTTGCCGACTCTCAGGTCACAACCACAAGTATTTATTGGGTGCCTCCTGTCATTCCACAGGTGCTCGCCGAGGCCCTGATTCCACGTCAGGCTCTCATGCTGCGTGTCAGAGAGAGGTGTCCTCAAGGGCTTACCTCTGTGCGCCCAGCATTGCTAGCATGATGAGGGATAAAATGAAGGCAGGGTCCTTAGCCCCCTCCTCTCCAGAGACTTGTGTGTGTGTGTGTGTGTGTGTGTGTGTGTGTGTGTGTGTGTGTCCGTCCAGGGTGCCCCTGAGGCCAGTTTAGGACATAATGCTGACTATGAAGAAGTGATTGTGAGAAAGAAGAATGACCGAGCTGGGGTCCAGCGGAAGGAAGAAAGGAAGCTGGGTTTGGAAGATGACAAGACTTATGTTATCAGAAAAAGGGGAAGGCAAGAATAAAATAGAGCAGCCCCTTTAAGACCCCCTCCTGCTCCTGGGATCCCTCCTATATTCTGGTTTCCCAGAAGCCTTTGGGCTTTCCCCGTGGGAAAGGTGGTAACACTGGCTGGTAACACAACTCCCCAGAGTCTGTCGTGAAGTGGAGACTCAGGGCTTGTTGTCCCTGCCCTAGCTACATGGGCAGGTCCCTGGCTTGACCCATCCCCTTTGAGGAGGAAATGAGCAGCAACCTCCATCTGGACCAGGCCCTTCAGGGAAGCACACAACCTGAAGACAGAAGGGAAGGCTGTCAAGCACTCAGGAGAGTAGGTAGGCCTCTTGGCTGCCTGGTGAAGGGAGAATTTGGGGGAGAGGAGATGGGGTGCTGGGGTATTAGGAGCAGGAAAGAGCAGGAGCACTGGATAATTAGAGTTAGACAAAGGAGAACTAAGAGGTAAGTAGTCAGCCAGTCTCCTGGGGGAGTTGGGATGTACACATGGGCACTTTCATGAAACCCAGATGTTTTCCCTTAATGTTGAAATGATTTCCCAAGTATCTGGGCCTGTAAGCATCTTTGCTGGCCAGCACCCCGTGAACTGTGGCAGTGGCCCACTTGAAGTTGAGTGTTGGCCCTGTAAGCAGGTAGTGGAGGTGGTAAGCCTGGGGATGAAGCTCCTGGGAGACGTCAAAATAGTAATACAATCAGAACAAGCATCTATGGAGGGGGCCCATGTTTTCAGGCCTGGGAGTTGGCCACTTCACAGTCCTTAGCCCAAGTCACCCTCACAATATCCCTGTGAGGTATGCAAAGTACAGACACAAAGCATTCAATCACTTGCCGCGGGGTCACCTTAACAGCCAGGAGTCCTTTATTCCTCCTTATAAAAAATTTCTGCTTTTAGTATGTCCCGAGGAAAGCCAGGGAGAATGTGACTGGGGCTGATCAAGGCACAAAATTCTAAGTCCAGTCAATAGATCATCTCCTCTTTCCCTCCTAAAGCTTTTCTTGCCCCAAACAGGCCCCTTTCTCCTAGTCTATGTCAATACCCCAAGCTTAGAGTCTCAGCTAAGATGACAGAAATGCCGGGAAGAGCCCTTTAACCCATGACAACACAGTGTGGACACAGCATGTATGTCCTCTCATTCTACACTAGGCTTTTACAGCCTTAACACTAATGATATTTTGGACCAGATGGTTCTTTGTTTTGTAGTGGGGAGGGAGTTATTCTGTCCATTGTGGATGTATTACCAGCATCCCTGGCCTCTACCCAGTAGCACCTCCCCAGTTGCAGCACCCAAAAATGCCTTCAGACATTGCCAAATGTTCCCAGGGGTGACAAAATTACCCCACTGTACTTCCTCACCCTCATCTGGTTGAGAATCACTGTTCTAGACCAACTCTACAATGCAGCTGATGACCTCTCCCCTGTCCTGAGCTAACTTCTTCCACTTTTTGTGCCTCCTCACTAAGTTTTGCCTGGCTGCGTCATCAGTAAATGCTGTGACTGTGTTGGTGACAGCCTAGCGGCAGGAGTCCTGACCTCCCAGCTCCCACGGAACCCAAGAACAGAACCTTCTGCTGAAAGCTGATTAGAAATGCTTCCAACATGTTCTACATGTTCTCCCTTTTTTGACTTATTCCCCATTTGACACCCTGTTCTTTCATTCATATACAGGAAGAGGGATACGAATTCTGGATGTCCTAAAAGATGAAGAAACACTGACACTATTTCTCACGAGAAACATTGGCCTGTCTGACTCAGTTGTCTACCTTCTGGTCAACTCCCAAGTTCGTCCAGAACAGGTAGGTGGATATCACTGGCCCTTGGAGGGGAGGGGTGAGCCCTGAGCCTGAGAAAAAACAGGGGAGACCTTGCATTATTTTTCCTTCTTGCTTTCATGTTCAAAATCCATGATTTCTTCCAAATATTCAGAAAAATACCTGGGGGGGGGGGTGGTCAGTTGAAATAACGAGCCTTCCCGGCATAGGATTATGAAGCAACCCATCCTGGCAGCACTTCAAACAACTCAGATTTGTATAACTGGAAAGAACCTCGGAGAACACATGGCTCAGAATCCTCTTAGAACTGAGGAAACTGAGGTTTACTCACGTTATTCACCAAATATTCAGGGACATTCTAGGTACTAAAATACAGTGTGAACAACATAGGCAAACCCTGGACTCTGGGAGCTTACAGTCCTGCAGGGACAGCAGGTGATCATTAAATAAGCAAAGATATGTATGGAGTGTTTCCGGGTCAAGATAGGTGCTGAGAGGAAAATCTAGCAGGGCTGGGTGTTAGGGAGGGTCTAGGAGGCATGGGATGGAGGCAGACTGAAATGAGATGGTCAGGGAAGGCCTTCCTGCTGAGATGGTATCTGAGCCCACCTGCCTAAGCAGAAGGCAGCGGTGGGAAGCGCTGGGAGAAGAGTTCCAGGGTGAGAAATGGGCTGCGCATGCGCAGTGTGTGAGTGCACAGAGCTGCTCTTCCCCTGGCTACAGACCTCTGATTGCCTGCCCGTTTTGTTCTCGGTGCCAGGCAAGCTCCTTCTACTGTCCCCACTGCACTCTCTGACCTATGCCCCCCAAAATCTGTCTCATGCATTTCATAATCTCCTATATGTATCCAGAGTGTTTTTAAAACCCCTAATACATGACTTTCCCCATCTGTGGGAGTTCTGGGCCTCAGGGGCTCCTGCCCAGCCTCCTGGGCATGCGGGTTTCTGGCGTGATGAACAAAGTGAGAATGCAAGATAAGCAGGGGCCCAACAGTGCAGACACCCCTCCCGCCTCTCCTGGCCAGGTCTGCACCTCCTCCAGACTCCAGGGGAGACTGAGACATAAACAGAGAATTTCAGGGTCTGTGTCAGTACTGAGATAAAAGTCTGCACCCAGAGGAGGGAGGGAGTACCCCAGACGCCTGGGCAGGGCTGGCTCTGTCCAAAGGGGTTTTCGGGCTGGTCCCCTGCAGCGTGGTGAAGAAACCCATACCTGCTTTTCTGGCTTCTTAGACTGTGAGGTTTTCCCTGAAACCACACGAAGGGAACTGAGGGTCAGCCCTGAGACAATGTGTCAGAGCCTTTGGAGAGCAGAGCCTGCATTGCCCAGGCCCTTGAACTCAGACCTGGCTGCCCTGCTCCACTCTCCCTCCCACGCCCACCTGGGTGGGGGCAGGGCGGGGGATTGGCGGGCCAGCATCCACAGCTCATTCTCCGCTTTGCTTTCTCTTAGCTCATAAAACTCAAGTCCTGGAAATGCCCGTGATGACTTCCAGTTGGTAATAAAAGGGAGATGGAGATAAGGGCAGGAATTTAGGGGAAATTTCTTTCCAGCTCCTCACTGACGGGATATTTGGGTCTCAGTTGCTGTGCTGTTGGCATCAGAGCTGAGCCTTTCATGTGGGGGTAAGGGGCCAGTGTCACTGGGTTGTGCTATTGTATAGGGTTGCTCCCTCTGATTAGCTGGTGCTTCCCTGATTAGCAAATGTCAGAGCTTAAGAGGAAGCACAGAGCTCCTGCTGCTGGAAGAGGCTAGTCCTGTTGTCCCAACTCCCTCTGGGCCCTATGCCCTCCCTGCTTCTCAGCATGGTTGCCAGCTGCACCTGCTTCCCCATCTCTGTCTCAGGCCTCCATCCAGTTGTGCCATTCCTTACCAGCACCGTCCACCACCGTTTTCCTCCACAATGGAGGGGGCTCACCATTTTCAAGCCCGGCAGTTAGCCATTTCCATAGTGGTTTCCACTGTTAGCCACAGTAGCTGAGGAACTGAATTTTAAATATTATTTAGTGTTGATTAAACTTAAATAGCCACATGGCGCTTACAGCTCTGTGCTTAGTCTCAGCAAACATGGGATTTTGTTCTTCATCAGGACTGAGTGCCCCTCCAGGGTTCTCTCTGCCTGGTACCAGAGATCTCCCTCTCCCCATCTAGGAAATTGTTAGCCGATGAGAGTGGAATCGTTGTTTGGCTCATCACTCACTCCACCCCCCAAGCCCAGCCTTGAAACTCCTGGACTTGCTTCAAGGCCCAGCTCAAGTGTTGCCTCCCTGGTGAAATCATTCATAAACCCTCCCTTCTTTGTTTTGCCCACTTCCACTTCCCTACTCAGCAAAGGGCTAACGGGTAGTGATGAAGCACAAGCTCTGGGTTCAAATCTCAGCAAGGCTACACAGTTAACTGTGACCTCGAGCAAGTTAAACAACCACTCTGTGCCTCTGTGTCCTCATTTATAAAATGGAAACAGTAAAAGTGCCTATGATTGTTATGGGGGTCAAAAAAAATTAATATATGTAAAGCACAAAAACAGTGCCTGGCACACAGGAAACACTGGAAAAACGCTGGTTGTTCTTAACACTCCCTCTTCTGTGCTCTGGTTTCACTACGTTCAATTTAGCACTTACCACTCTAAATGCCTGCATGTCCAGCCAGCCAGTAAGCAGCTTGGAGAGCAGAAAACTCACCTTATTCTCTGTATCCCCCGTAACTGTTCTAGTCCTTGCAGAAAGGGACTCAGTGAATGGGCATTGAATGAATGAGTCACTTTGTGAAAGAAGGAGCTGGGACCTTCATGATGTTCCAGCTTTCCCACTAGCTTGCTGTGTAATTTCTCCTCCATCACTTTTCTCCCCTAGAATATTCGAGGTTTGGACAAAGTGAGCTCATTGATTCCCTCCACCTCAGAATGTTTTAGACACCAGGATTAGGGTTGGGGCTGTGATGCAATGTGTGGGCAAAACAGGAAAGCTCTGTTGGAACGTGAGCTGGGTTACAGTCCCCTGAGATTGATGGAGTCCACACCAACCCAGTGTCAGCCGTGACCTCATTTAGTGGGAGGTGGGGTTGGGGTCATCGGGGTCACCCTGAGAACTGTGTCATCAGAAGCCCTGGGGAGACTACAGAGGCCAGGGAAGGCCATGAACCTGTTCATGGTACTTGGGGGTTGGGAGTCCAAGACTCTAGGAGGCCAGTTATATACTAGGTGGCCAAGGATCTCTGGCTAGGGTTGTGGCCTCCTTGGTCTCTGAGGCCATCACAGGGACTATGATTCAGTCCAAGAGTGATTGTCCATGAGCTCCACAGGAGCTAGAGGTTGTGCTAGCCAGCAGTTGGGTGTGACCCAATAAATACAGGATACCCACTTTGGTTTGCATTTTAGATAAATGAATAATTTTTTGCATAAGTATGTCTAATTTGGACCCTATTTGGGACATACCTGTACTAAAAGCTGTTCACTGTTTATCTGAAATTTAAATTTAACTGGGTATCCAGGATTTTTATTGGTTAAATATGTTGAGAAAGGAGAACGGGGGCTGGTCATTTGCCATCACTCTAAATCCATTCTAGCCACTACCTGTCCTTAGCTTCAGGGGAAAAGGTCCTGTTGGTACCTTAGCATTATGCTGAGAACAGAAGGCTCATATTTTAAGTGGCTCTCTGATGAAATGAGGCTTGGGAGTGCGTTAATTTGCTGTGACTGCTGCAAGAAACCACCACAAATTTAGTGGCTTAAAACAACACAAATGTATTCTCTATGGTTCTTGAGATCAGAAGTCTGAAAGTCCAGGTGTTGGCAGAGTTTCATTTCTTCCTGGGGGATCCAGAGGGAAATCCATTTCCAGTTTCCAGAGACTCTCCACGATCTTTGGCTGGTAGCTGCCTTTCATCTTCAAGGCCCACAGTGGCCAATCAAGTCTTTCTCATGTCACATTAGTTTGCCATTTTTTTTCTTCTTACTTCCTCTTCCACCAGCTTTTAAAAAAATAAAAAATAAAAAATAAAACCCTTGTGATCACATTGGGCCCACCTAGATAATCCAAAATAACCTCTTTATCTTCAAGTTGGCTGATTCGGACCCTCAATTTCATCTGCAATCCCAATTCCCCTTGCCCTCCAACATAATGCATTCACAGTGTCTATGGGTTAGGACGTGGCCATCTTTGGGGTAGCTGGGATTCTCCTACCCAGGGAGGTTTCCAGTGTTGCTTCTCCTCCCTGCAGTTTGCTCACGGAGTCCCAGACCTGATGCTGAAGGACATCGCCTGCAGCGAGACCCTCCTGAGACGCTTCATAATCTTTAGCCAGCGCCATGGGGCACAGACAGTGCGTGATGCCATGTGCTCCCTCTCCCAGGGCACCCTGCAGTGGGTGGAAGACACTCTGTATGCCAACGTGGACTTCTTCAAGCTCTTCCGTGTGGTAAGGGAGGTATTTAGCTGCTGACCCCTTGGAAGGTAATTCTTGGGTGCAGGGCGATCTGATGGCAGGTCATCGGGGACTCGTGAATTGACGATCAGGAGGGCATGAGCCTGGTGTTCAAGACAGTTCTTGAGGAAGCTCCAGGCTCCAAAGACCTAAGGAATCTTTACCAATAATATTTTTAGAGCAGCGGCCCAGGCACCCAGGAGTCACTTTAGGTTCACCATTAGTTATGCAGTTGTGGCAGGTCTGAGTCCTTCCCAGTGTGGGATAAATCCTCTCCACCACCTCTAGCGGTGTGGAAAGGAGGAGGCCTGATTTGACTGCCTGTCCTACTATTTTCTAAGACAGTTGACCTTTGCTGGCCCCATCGCTCATCTATGTAACAAATACAATACTTTATAGAATGGCAGGAAAAGATACATAAAAAAAAAATAGATGCAATCATTAAATAAATTTCAATACATCAGAGCTTCACACTCTGGGTCTGGTCTTGACCACAGAGGTTGCTGTTTCTGGGTAGAAAAGAATAACAGAAAATTTCATAGTTTCAAAAAGTTGGAACGCCCTCATCTAGTTCAACCCCGTGTTCTAGAACTGCATCTTAGATACACTTCTTGGGACCTGATAATACTTCCTCTTTTGCTAGAAGGATTAGAAGGAATTATAAAAAGGAGGTGAACAATAGCAGTTCTTACACTTCAGAGTGTATGAGTATCATGAGAGAAGCTGGTAAAAGATGCAAATTCCAAATTGCCATCTCTGGAAACCAATTCAGGAGGTCTGGGCTGGGTCCAGCATCTGCCCTGTTAACCTTAGGTGGTTCCAATGGAGGTCATTGTAGGCCATGTTTTCAGAAACACTCAAAACTAAAATTCTTCAGAGAAAATGACATATGTAAAAATATACATATTGTTTCTATAATTATAAAATGTTTCTAGGATCCAATTGTTTTTTTCTTGTGCCATTTTAATTTCTGAAACTGTTATAGGGTATGTCAATCATGAGAACTTGGTTCAGGAATTCATGTTTTGCCTTTTTATGGTTGCTCTCTCAAGTCCCAGAAAACCCACTCTCAGCTCATCTTAAAAAGAAAGTTGAAGGCTTTTAAAAACAACAACAAAAATAAAACAAGAGCCCTCAGTTTCTGGCAGAGTCCACACTTGATTCCTTTCAAAACGTGACTTGCCCTTGGAACATTCCTCCACAACGTTCCCAGTTCATCAGGGTGGGTCTCCAGAATGGCAAGAGGGGTTAGTACTTACCTAAGCCATCACCCGTGAGAGCCCAGGACCCCAGATGTAGGGAGAATAAAAAGGCCTATGGTTCAAATGTCTCTGTCCAAAATTCCAAAAGGAAGTCAATTTTATACGTACTGCTTGGTTTGTTTTCAGAATCATAAGCGTGAGTAAGGTAATAAAGGTCCCTTATGCTGGGCTGCTGAACAGCAGCAAAGCCAGGGACCAGTACCTGTGTGGACAGAGGTGTTAATGTCCCTAGGCACCCAGGGTCATGCAATCCCCTGGGCGATAGAAAAAAGGCAGGGTTGTGCATCTCTTTTTGAAGTGCCTCAGCTGCTGGTGCCAGAAAATGTAGCCTTGGAGCATGGCCGGCTACACCAGGAAGACAGTTCTGGCTGTAGCAGGATCAAGGGAGACCTGGGCAAAACTTTCCATGAGGGGCTGGAACCAAGCTCAGATCACTGGCTTCAGAAAGCTTATCACAGAAGAAAGACCAGAAAATCTTTCCTTCTACAAGTGCTAGAGTTCAGGAACCAGAGAACTTCGGCTGGTGGCCCTTACTGACCTGAGACACAGCCCATGTGCTTGCTCACTGTTCATGAGTTCATGCCCTCAAACCTGACCCAGGTACCTTTAAGGCGCAGGCACTGTGCTGAGGCTGAGACTGCAACCATGACCCTACCACCTTCCCTGAACTCTTAGCTTGAGAAAAGCAAAAAGGCCATGTCATGGCAGTTGGTGTTAGAAACACCAAACACCAATGACGTTTGGGTGCTGGAGCAGTGGTTCCCAGCCTGGCTGCACACTGAACCACCTGAAGAGCTTTTAAAAACTACCAATGCCTGTCCCCAAACCCCAGAGATTTTGATTCCATGGGACTTTAGTGTTTTTAAAAGCTTCCCAGATCATTCTAATGTCCAGCCGGGTTGGATTCACTGACATAGAACATAGGAGTTTGGCTCCCAGGTTGAGAATCACTGACCTAGAACATGGGAGGTTGATTTACAGTCTCAGTTTCCATATACCAATCAAAATAATAATATCCCAAATGCCACCAAGACCTCAAAGCACTTTCATTTGATCACCCATGAGACCAAGGTGCTGTGGACTCATCCTCCCTGCCATTCTCTTAACAAAGACAGTGTGTAGCCCCAGAGATAGCCTGGAGGGGAAAACCCAGCAGGACTACCGCTACCTACCCTCTTCTTGCTCCTGCTCATCTCTGTGGGGAAAGACCAGACCAAGACAGGATCCATGGAGCACAAGCAAAGAAGATGGCCACCCTTTCTGGTGCCCTTGAAATGTGCTTCTTCATTTGATAAGTGGACAGAGTGGCTAAACATTTTTTTAAAAATTGCTAATAAGGAAACCCAAAAGAAACTGCAGACATGAAGACAGGATTTTTGCTTTTATCACTCCTGTACCATCTTATCCGCATTTTCAGAACAACCCTGAGGCACATGGAAGATCCTCAGACCCTGGGAGAGGGACATTGAGAGGGACATCGGGGAAGCAGCGGCAGCTCAGAGGCCAGGGGCGGGGGCCTCTCTGGACTAGACTGTTATTGCAGCTGGTTGGCCGGCAGCCACGCTTAGCTCCAGTACCACGGAATGCGGTGCCTTCTGTTCTCCTGGACTGTTTCTCATATGCATGTATACCAGTGTGCAAATAAGGTTTTATTAAATGCCAAGGCAGTGCTCATTAACAAAGAGGGGCAATGTCAGTAAGCTGGGGTGATGGCCCTGGGTCCCGCTGTGGAAGGAGCTGGGTCCCAGGTGGGTGGGAGTGCAACCTCTAGACCTGGCCCTCGGAGCTGAGGGGATCCCAGAGGAGGGTTTAGCTGTTAGCACCACCTGGGGCCAGCTGTGTTTTCCCTCGGCCCCATGGAGATCAGAAGCCAGTGTTCTCATCCTCAAATAATCCCAGCACAGTCCCCATGGCCTCACTCCACCCCATCCGTCCCCATACATACACTCACGCACACCCAGCGCACGTGCCTGCTGGGGCATGCGCACAGACACGCAGGCGCGCACGCGCACTGGATGCGTGGGTGGGGGGCGGGGGTATCTAGGTGGGCTGTCAGGTGCCTGGCTTTTTCTCTGAGGAGCTGTAGGCACTCTTGGTCGGCGTGGCTGAGCTTGCCTTCACCTGTGGTCCCCTTGGACTTGACGCCCCCAGCTGGAAAACCGGCAGCGCGGCCTGGGGGCCCACGGTATCGGTATCATGTATCATGCCAGCCAACACTACCTGAAACATTTCACACCTCGTAAAAATGGTATGTCAGTTTCGGGTGAGGGGTTGGGACGTTTCCCATCTGATTTGGCCCAGGGCACGAAGGCCCCTCCCCCTCCTCCCTCTGGGTCCTTCCTGTTTTCTCTCTGACTCTGGAGCACAGCTTTGAAATCTTGCTGAGAAGCAAATCTGTCCCTTCTGCTCTGAATGTTTATTTGTGGAAGTTCGGCAGGGGAACGGAGGCTGTGCCAAGACCTGCCACACTGCTGGGAAATCTGAGTTTCCCTCCCTTCCCCCTTCTCAGTGGATGTTGATAGAGGAAATTTGGCCTCACCGGCATTTTGGCCCCCGGTTTCCCCCCTTTGCAATCGCTTCCAGTGTGGCATGATTCAGTTTTCTTTACTTGCCCTCAACCACTGTTCTGTCGCAGTTTTTACTTTTCGGGATTTCATTTCATCCGTGTCTCTTTGACTGTAGGGTGGCTGCACATTGATTTGGGAGGGGCCACAGGACGCAGTCTTGGGGGCGCTGACTACATGTGCCTTTCAATGTCCTGCTTTGTTCTTGGCTCTGCTCCCTAAATTGCTGAATCGTTGGGAATAAATGTGGGTGGACTGCTTGCTGCCCAGGGTGAGCTGGCCATGGTTTCTCTTCTCCGGGATCTTTCATTGCAGTTTGTTAAATTCAACTTACCCATTTCAGTTTTCAGACAATATTGCCGTGTCATAATTCTCTGGAAAAGCCCCACATCTCCAGGAATTTATAATGAGGTCCCATTAATGGCTTAACCTCATGATCTCCTCTCCCTTCTGATTCTGAATCTTTGGGTTGTCAACTTTTTCCCACTTCTGTGTGAGGGTTTTGAGAGGGAAGAAGGAAAGGAGTGATACCCAGTGCCAGCAGTGTGAGGTGAGGGGTGGCGGAGTCAGAAGATAGGTTTTTGGGGGCGCCTGGGTGGCTCAGTGTGTTGGGGCCTCTCCCTTTGGCTCAAGTCATGATCTGGATGGAGCCTGCTTCCTCCTCTCTCTCTGCCTGCCTACTTGTGATCTCTGTCTGTCAAACAAGTAAAATCTTAAAAAAAAAAAAAAAAAGATAGGTTTTTTTGTTTTTTTTAAATTATGAAGCCCACAACAAGTATATTTGATATACAGCATTAGTATTTATTCCGCTTATATCTATGAAACTTTGTGTCTGTTTTAATGAAAATCTTCCCTGTGCGAATGAATTTCAGTAAAGAAGAAATAAAAAGGAAAGAGAAATATTAATATACATTAAATGGGCCTTAGGCATGTGGGCCTGATTGTCATTGGCCTGCTTTGATCTCTTCTGGGCTCCAGACACACAGGAGGCCACAGCTTATTTCATGATAGATTAGGTGTTGTTTTTATGAATTTAAAAAGAAAAAACATTGAGAAAAAAATTAAAATGACTTCAGACACGAAAAGACCCCTGTAAAGGCTACTGTTTCAATAATGGTTCCTGGGTCCTGGCCTTTATTTAGCTGATAAAAGGTTGATAACCAATGTT